TAAAATTATTTAATTAGATGATGTTTTAATAAAGTTTATTTTGTGTTGTAAAAGTTAATTTATAATATAATACTTACCCTCTATGAAATAAAAAATAAAATTATTTAATTAGATGAATGTCTTAATAAAGTTTATTTTGTGTTGTAAAAGTTAATTTATAATATAATACTTACGCTCTATGAAATAAAAAATAAAATTATTTAATTAAATGATGTTTTACTAAAGTTTATTTTGTGTTGTAAAAGTTAATTTATAATATAATACTTACTCCCTAGTTATTATAATGAAATAAAAAATAAAATTATTTAATTAGATGGTGTCTTAATAAAGTTTATTTGTGTTGTAAAAGTTAATTTATAATATAATACTTACGTTCTATGAAATAAAAAGTAAATTTATTCAATTAGATGATGTTTTAATAAAGTTTATTTTATGTTTAAAAGTTAATTTATAATATAATGCTTACTCCCTAGCAATTATAAAGGAATAAAAAATAAAATTATTTCATTAGATGGTGTTTTAATAAAGTTTATTTGTGTTGTAAAAGTTAATTTATAATATAGTACTTACACTCTATGAAATAAAAAATAAATTTAATTGATTAAATGATGTTTTAATAAAGTTTATTTTGTGTTGTAAAAATTAATTTATAATATAATGCTTACCCCCTGGTTATTGTAAAGAAACAAAAAATAAAATTATTTAATTAGATGATGATTTAATAAAGTTATTTTGTGTTGTAAAAGTTAACTTATAATATAATACTTACGCTCTATGAAATAAAAAATAAAATTATTTAATTAGATGAATGTTTTAATAAAGTTTATTTTGTGTTGTGAAGGTTAATTTATAATATTATACTTACGAGCTGTGAAATAAATAATAAATTTATTTAATTGGATGATGTTTTAATAAAATTTATTTTGTGTTCTAAAAGTTAATTTATAATATAATACTTACCAACTATGAAATAAAAAATAAAATTATTTAATTAGATGATGTTTTAATAAAGTTTATTTTGTGTTGTAAAAGTTAATTATAATATAATGCTTACCCCCTGGTAATTGTAAAGAAATAAAAAATAAAATTATTTAATTAGATGATGTTTTAATAGTTTATTTTGTGTTGTAAAAGTTAATTTATAATATAATACTTACAAGCTTTGAAATAAAAAATAAATTTATTTAATTAGATGATGTCTTAATAAAGTTTATTTGGTGTTGTAAAGGTTAATTTATAATATAATACTTATCCTCTATGAAATAAAAAATAAATTTATTTAATTAGACTATGATTTAATAAAATTTATTTTGTAAAATATTTATTTACCTTTATATAATTTAGCTAAACATTGTTTTATTATAAAGTAAATATTAAATTATGATGTAAAATCCTTTTACTATTACTATATATTTTTAAAATAGTGCATGAAAAAATACCTTCATTCATTTTTTTTATTGGGAATTTTTTGTTGAAAATTTCATTAGGATTATCCTTTTGCTTTTTGTGTTACGCGAGAACTTGTGTATGTATTAGTACAATAGAAATATCCGGATACAATAATAATATAATAATACTTCGTCATAAACAATTGCCCAAGCAATTTATTTTGTCATGGATTTAAGTAAGTTGATTAGCTTTTGATGCATGTAGTCTTAATTTCATGAATTATATAAAATATAAAATTTATTTTGAAATTAATTTATTAATAGAAAAGCTTATATTTTAGCATGATTATGATAGTCGTGTGACATATCCCTGTAAAAAATTGTATTATTGATATACCAAATTTATCAATGTAAATTAATTGTCAATGCAATGTTGAAGAGCCAAAGCATTGGGAAAATATTAAAATCAAGTGTGGCTAAAAAAAAATAAACTATATAAATATAATTTTGGAGATGGAAAACACTTTAAATGAAAATAAGCATCATAATGATACTTCTACAAAAATGATGATGATGAATATTCAAAGGAAAGGTACAATGCTTCATATTCATGGTGTCAATCATGTGATTAGCACTAATGGCAATGAAACATTAGATGAATTGATTAAAAATACAATTATATGTTCTAATAAATATTATCTTGAATGGATTCCTTATAATTATTTAACAAATATTGAAAGATAGGTGAAGGTGTATACCAAGATACTTGTTTAAATGGTTATAAAGGTGTAGTTCATAGAAAAAGAATAAGTAAAGATAGGAATGTGGCATTAAAAAGATTACATAGTTCACAAATATTCCTGATGAATTTCTTAATGAGCTAAATTATTTTGTTGTATTTTTTATTACTCCTCCTTCCCCCCAAATAAAATTCCCTTACCTGGCTGATTGATTAATTTGTTAATTAAAAAAATTTATTCATTTGTTCAAAAAGTGACATTATTACAAGGAAAATTATAACTTTGTCTAGGACAGGACAATCAATGTCCATCCATGCCTGTGTCTGCTAACAACACTGGTTATATAAATAATAATAATATAAATACAAATAAGAATTTAATAATTAAGTAATCTACATAATATCACAGTACATATATATTTACAATTAGATTGATAATATTTTAGTGTGCATAGTTTTCAGGGTTCTATTTACTCTAAAGATCCAAGATTTTATCAAATTTTATTTGCAGTGAATCAGTGCCAGTAGATTCTGTCGTAATAATACTGGGATGACTGAAAGAATTACTGTCTTCATTTTTTTGTTGCATGTAATTTTCCTCTTTATCAACTATATTTGAGCCTGAAATCATTAGTTGAAAATTTTTTTTAATCCACAACCAAAAATATATTGTAATTTACCTCATTAGTAATTTCTTTCATATTTGTCATACCATGTTTATAAGACTTCAAGGCGCAAATACTGCTATTATCTAATGTTGCTTTATAAACTTCTCCAGAACCACCTGAACCAGTTTTTAGAATATTTTTAAATCTACTACTATATTCATAAAAATTAATGTGTTCCTTCTGAATTGTTTCATCAAGCCATCCTAACCAATTATCTTTAGATTTATCAATAATGGCTCTGTTTTCATTGGTTATTCCATTGTTTGGTTCATTATTTGTTTCTTTGTTATCTTGACTAATTGGAGCAGATGGTGGTGATTTGGATAACTGTGGTGAAGGAGTTTCACTTTTATCCTCGTGAAGTTTTATACCATCTTCTAATGTCATTATATCAAATGAAAGATTGTGCAGCGAGTGACTTCTGTATAAAATAAATAATTTATTAAGAAAAGTAGGCATATTTGGACGTGATGAAGGTTCTTGATTCCAAGCTATTCAAAAGAAAAATTATATTAAATATATATCAATTATGTGTGAAATTAGAATCTGCATATTTGAATTTGTCACAGCAGTAAAAAAGTTGAATTTTAGAGAAAAAATATGGCACTATTGGACTACAATGATGAAGGTGACATTTATAAATATTCATTCATTTACCTTTTATTATTATGTTTTTGAAACATATCTGAATATCAGATGTACAACATAAAGAAACATTACAAATGGTACATCAAATAAAATAACGATTTCAGTTTTCACTGATTTTTCTTCAATCTGCTGTCTTTCATACTTACATAATACACACGCAGCTCTTTTATCTTTATGTTCTGGGAGGTGTTTTCCAGTTGCAAGCCTTTCCGATGGTAGAGTTGATTTGGATTAGAGGTTGGAACCGGTTTGGGTACAATCGACTTAAAACCGGTTGCAACCGGTTGCAACGTAAAACTGATTCCTATTTTTCATATTCGATAAACCGAATATAATAAAACCGATTTATTTCGGGCAACCGAATTTAATAAAACTGGTTGAACCGGTTTTATTATTAAACTTTATGTAAAGAGACTGTGCTAAATATAAAGCATTTATCAATTCTCCGTCACCATTTTCAAACAAAAACAATAACTAAAGTGTATGTATATCAAGGTTGAGTGACGAAAATATTTTGGAGTGTAAAAAGTATTTCATCAAATGGGGCACATATGACAAAACGTGATGAAAGTGACAAAACGTGACAAAACGTGATGAAACGTGATGAAACGTGACGAAAAGTGATGAAACGTGACGAAAAGTGACAAAGGGTAAAGTCGAAAGTATGATAAAAGATGACAAAAATAAATTCAATTTTATTTAGGTTTAATTAAAACAAAAAAGTTAATTTTAATCGTTTTTTTATGCAAAGTTTTAGTAGAAATTGCTGCTTCACATATATTACTGGTTTCATAAATTTCTTCAAAATCTGTAGAATCATCTGATAATTCTGATTGTTGAAATTTACTCACTAAAGAAATAAAAAAAAATAGTGGTAAATATAAAATAAAAGAAAATTAATTATACACGGGATTAGTATGAATTCATTGCCAGAGATAACTTTTCCAAATTCCCTGTGATCCTTAAATCACTATTTCGCAATATGTAAATGTGAATGTGCATATGTACATATGTATAAAACATTCACTGCTACCAAATTGTAAAGAGTCACTTGTCAAAACAAATTGAACACTCTTACAAACAGACAAGCTGTCTTTCATTATTTAAAAATAATTTTGTACAAATAATTTTATTTTAACATAATTAGTAATATAAACTAATTTGTTCTGCAATAATGTTTAGAGTTATTTCTTTATTTGTACATTAATGTACTCATGATAATGTAAATATTTGTATATTAATTGTTGCACTTGTGAATAAAGTTATTTATAAGAAAATTTTTTTTTCTCTTTGAAAAAAAAAAAAATAATGGATGACATAGAAGACATTCCCTTATCTCCTCCTCCTTTTGAATATGAACCTACTTCTTCAATTGAAATCATTTCTGAAACAGAAACAGTTACAACCAACAGTTCTAACAGTTTAAATAGAAAAAAACGAAATAGTATTAATATCATTAATTCCCACAACAATCAAAGCACCACCAAATCCCGAAACAATCAAAGCCATACATCCTATTTTTTTCACACTGATCCAATTAATACTTCCATCACCTATTGCAAAATATGTGAAATTAATTTAGCTGGTGCACGTCAAAAACCTTATGCATACAGCCGAAAAGGTGGAAACACAACAAATCTTATTGTCCATTTGCGTGATAAACACAAAATCACAAAAGAAAATTATTTTCAGTTTTTAGATAATTCTAATCAGGTAATTGCTTTCTGCTGCAGGTGTTTATCCATATCCTCATTCTTTTTATCCTTCTAAAATAGAGTTTAATTAATATTTAATAGCCCCGACGTGATCAAACTCAAATTATAGGATATTTAAAAGCAGCAGCTCCATGCTCACCAAAATGACAGGAACTTATTACACAAAAGCTTGTAACCTTTATCATCAAATTCATTCAACCACTATATATTTTACAAAATCAATACTTTCGTGAATTACTCCTTATCTGTGAGCCAGGTTATAGAATTCTATGTGACAAAACAGTAAAAGCAATAATCAATGATTCATTTGTATGCTGTAAGGAACAACTTTGTTCACTTTTAAATAATAATAATGTTATTGCTGTTCATTTGACTACTGATTTATGGACTGCAAGGTCTCGTCATGTATATCTTGGTGTAATAGCCACATGGTTAACATCTAATTTTGAATTCTATGAGGCACTTTTGTCCTGTAATCACATTCCATATCCACACTCAGGAGAGACTATCAGTGCTGCATTATTTCAAATTATAAATGAGTGGCATTTATCAAACACAGCATTTACCATTGCAACTGATAATGGTTCTAATATGATAAAGGGTGTTCGACTATTAGGTGAGAAATACTTATCACAAATAAAACGGCAACCTTGTGCTGCTCACACATTACAACTTTCAGTTCTACAAGGTCTGAAGCAGTGTAAATCAATACATCGTCGAGTAAAGTGTTTACAGGCATTTTTTCGTTTACCAAAACAAGCTCAGAGACTTCGGGAAGCCCAACAAAGCAATCAGCAATTACTGGAGGAAAATGATTATAGTAACCCTCTTGATGTTTTAACTGATGTTAAAACAAGATGGAATTCGACATACTATGCATGGAAGAGAATATTAGAATTACACAATTCAATGCGACTCATTTCTACCACATTGTTGACAAAACCAGATCGAGCATCACAGAAAGAAGGAGAGAAATTAGAACGACTATGTTTATCTCTTGATGAAAAACAGTAAGTTTAAAAAAATAATTTATAGTTTTATATAGTGCTATCATTTAATATATATTATTTTTTTTTGAAAAGATTTATTCAAGATATGGTAAACCTTTTATCACCATTTGAAAAAGTAACTTGCCGATTTTGTGGAGCTAAATATGTTACTTTAAGTCTTGTTAACCCTTATATGGAATTGTTGAAAAAGACATTTGCACCTAAGTCTGAAAATGGAGAAAGTCTTGATACATACCTTGATCTCATTTATGGGCCACAAACTGAAGATAATAATGGCAATGAAGAAGAATCTGACAGTTCAACCAGTGATGATGATGAAATCTCATCTGGTGGTTCACAACAACATTGGCAATATTCCCATCGTCAATTTCAACAAAGGATGCGAATTACTAGAGGGGGAGGGGAAGGGGGAGGGGAAGAGGAAGAGGTCATGGTATAGGAACTAGAGGTGCAATAGATGACATAGATGATATTAATCGTGTTGAATATTTACCAGCTGTTAATACTACTGGCCTTCTTCAAAAAGTTCAAGCAGCTATTTTTTTATCATTAGATGAATTATGGTCAGTTCCAACAGAATTAGTTCAAATTGCAACAGTACTTGATCCCCGATTCAAAAATTTCCAATGGGATAGAAGTGGTGAGGAAAGAGACAAATCACATCAATTATTATGGGAATTATATGATTTTACAAAAGTGGATTTTGAATCTAATAATATTCAACAAACAACAACTATTCACAATTTACATACAACTAATGAAGATGACAATGATGATTTTTTTGAAACCTTGGAAATTGATCTAAGTTCATTTGAAGTTGAGAATGATGATGATGAAGTATTGAGTTATGTGAAACTTCGGCAGATTGATATTATGGAGGATCCTTTAAAATGGTGGGATGCAAATAAAGGCAATTTTCCAATTCTATCTCAACTTGCTCAAAAATATTTATCAATTCCTGCAACCTCTGTACCTAGCGAGAGGTTGTTTTCAGAAGCTGGCAACCATATTTCTGCAAAACGTACTCAATTATCTCCAGATTTGGTCAATCAAATTATTTTCCAATTCTTCACCAATTTCATCTAATTCAACTTCATCAAAAAAAATATTTTGCATAGCATTATAAATATCATCATCATTCATATTTTGAGCTGCAAATTTCAGCTCAGTTTTGGTATTTGAGACATAATAAGCATGGAGTTTAGAAAGGCTTTGTAATTGTTCCACACTCAACCTAATAATATTATTTAGTATTAAATTTTATACTAATTTCTATAATATTGATAAGTTGGAAATATTTAACAAATAACCTTGTCCTTCTTTTATTCATGTACCACCCAAGAACTGAAAATACTCTCTCACAACCTGTATTTGTTGGAGTTATTAATAAAATTTTCAGAGCAAGTTCTTTTCATTTTGTTCTATTAATCTCCACCAACTTTCAATTGAGTAGTATGCAGGTATCTATTTTAGCAGAGTCAATTTTTGTTGATTCAAATTTTTCATAAATTTTTGGTTGTTGGTTAATTTTTTGTTTCTTACTTAAAATTGAATAATTTTTTATAACTTCTAAATAATGTTTTCTTGTTTCGTAAGGTACTTCTTTACAATAAAAAGCAAGATGTTCTCTCATATCATTAGGTTGTGCTAATCTTTTCTCCCACCCACAAAACTTGCACACTCCACCACAATGACCTCTTATTCTTTCTCCTTTTTCTTCAAAATATTCCCAAACTTCTTCCCTTGGTCAACCAGATCATTTTTTTGTTTCATTAATTACGTCTAATTCACCTGAATTACTCATTTTTTGTCCTTAAACTTTTTGGTTCAACATTGACTAGATTAAATTTTGTAAAACTTTGAGATAATCAAAATAGATGAGATTGATTATACATGTGGCAGAATATCACTTGACTCAATCAGGTGACTCTTTGATGCAATTAATTGAGTCATATGGAAACATATAAATAATTGAGTCAAGACACAATTAAAAATTGAGATTTTGGAATTGGGTCAAAGCCAAATTAATTTTGACAATATGTATAGATGAGAGATTATTTCAATTTGGTTTTTTAAAAAATTAAATTTAATTTTGACATTTAATGAATGAATGATTTTACATATAAATTAGTGAAATGATTTTAACCCAAAAAAACAACAGGTTAATTGATTAAATTTCAGAGCTTTGCTAATAAGTAAAGGCAGAAATAATTTATTTATTATCATTAATTTAACTCGTAAAAATAAATACATTCATTGTTTTGCTTATAAAAACACTTTTGTAGTCAGAAATTAAACAGTGTGTTTAATTGTCCATTTGGTTGTTGGCATAGAACTGAAGTTTTGTTTATTTGCTTTGGTATAAAGCAAAAGTTTTGACATTTGTTAATCAGTGTAGTGTTAACAACAGTTTGCATAGAAAATTTCACAATAGTAATTAATTCGTCACCCCTAATTAATTTCATCACCTGTCACCCGTAATTAATTTCGTAATTACATTTTTAAAGAGTGAAAGTGGTAATTAATTATGTTAATTACAAATTATGCATTTACGGTAATTAGGTAATTACCATCCCATGTATAATCCAGATCAAAATTTGACTTTTCCAAAATCAATAATTGTCTTAAAGGTGAAGCTACATGAGATGCATTCAAATAACTCCTGTGTTATTCTATATGTGTATTCTGCTGTATAGTAGTTATTGAAAGTGTTTTTGAATAAAATCTTCTTTTAAAATTCTTCAAAAAACAAAACTCATCCCTAATTAGAGAAACTCATCCCATAACTCATCCCATATTAAAAAGAACTCATCCCATATTAACATATACTCATCCCTTAGTAACAAATATTCATTTCACATTTAAAATACTTAAAATATATTATTATCATAGTAATAGGAAAACTTATTGGACATTTTGTGATGATCAACATTGAAACCAACAAAAATTTTTTGATCCATGATTTACTATTGATTTATCACGTGATTCCCCCTACCCTTAAATTCAATAATAATAATAATAATAATAATGGGAACTTATCCAAAAAAAAAAAAGGCCTTTGAGCATTCAATTGCCCGCAAGTATCAATTTGGATTATAATTGATGTTTTATATTCAGCTACTCAAACACCTACTATTTCATCTTTGGTTGTTTGCGGTCACCTATTTATCTATTCGGTTGCACAACAAAGATGTCTGAACCAACGCAGCGACCCAAAACTCTTGGGAGAAACCTTAAACCAAACCACCGGGATGGCCCAGGCTTGATTTTAAAGGGTTGGTTTAGGCTTAGAGTAGGTTCTCTCCCGAAACTGTTTAGGGTCACAGCGTTGGTCTGAATAGGAATTAAATACATTGATAAAGATATGGATGGAGTTGAGAAAGCAAGGCAAAACGTTTGGATGCTAATACGTTTATTTCACTGTATATTCCATTGACAGTGATTGCTAGTTGGTGCATGTATGGTTAATTCATTTACAATCGAACTTGGTGTAGAACCAAAAAACAATTAATATTGTATCTGGTGAGAAACTTGTAAATCCATTTGACATGAAAAATTTTCCAATTTATAAAGGGTTTCAAGAAAACGATATAATGAGGAGTGGTTGTTCCTTGTTGTGTGTAAAATTGAAATCTATGAAAGTTGCAAATTTCTTTTATAATTTTCACAAATGTGAATTGTAAATGCACAAAATGAGTCTACAAAATCACTTGGCAACATTATGAGATGAAACGTAGTTTGTAAAAACAGCGTTCATGTTCATATTTCTAATTTTAAAATTGATTGTTTTGATTGATTGCTTTCGTAACACCCAGATAACATTCATTCATCAATGCACTTAATACTAATACTAATGAATCAAAAATGGGTTTTTCGAAAAATAATACATTCAGTCAATTCCAATTATCATATATTTATCAATGAAAGCACCAACAATGTCTCTAATTTTACATATTGGAATTAATAGTCGGATAAAACAAATTATCAATAACATTATTATTGTTGGAGAATTTTTAAACTAGTGATAAAATTTATGAAGAATACATTTCTTAAAGGTAGGTTGTGATTTGGCTATTTTAAAATGATTCAATCTCTCTTTAAATCAGGAACAAGACCAAAGTTATGGAATGGATGGTGGATCGATCAACAAGTACTAGCAGACATCTCAAATAATGACAATATATAATTAATTGCTCAATTGTAGTTACTTGACAGATCTTTTTATTTCCTTCGCAGTCACATTTCATTCACCAGTTTGTATATATGTATGTATGATGGATATGATGGATGATATTTGGAACAACGATTTCTCTGGATATTCTAACAAAAGATCAATGTATCCAAAATGCGCGTCTAGTTGAATTTTATCAAATAATAATAATGATAAACATTTCTATTTTAAAAATATTTTTTTTTACAAGAAAAAAAATCTAATTATTAAATAATCGTACAAAAAACAATATACTGTATATATAAAGCGATTAAATTACATTAAATTAAATTAAATTAAAGATTAATTGATTAGTTAATGATTTTTTGCTATATCAGAAAAATAAGTTAATAAATCATCCATTGAAAATTCCAAAGTGATGTTTGAATCAGGGTAACATTTATTGATGGTTAATGTAAATCTTTCATAAGTACGGATTACTTCTTCTTCTATACTACGCCATACAACTTGTAATAATTCATCATATTCTGTAAAATGTTTATCAACGCGCTTATACAATGATTCAAGGCTTTTCCTGATCTAAAAAGTAAATAAATGAATTAATAAATATATTATTATGATTACAATTATTAACAATAATCTCTTTAAATAACAAATTAATAATTACCTCTTTTCCAGGTAATTGTGATATTACTTTTTTCAATGCGGCTTTACTATATTGTAATCTAAATCCTACTTCCTCAGGTGCTGCGGTTGTTCTTAATAAACTATCTATACCATCAAAAAATTCCTATATATATATATATATAATTATAATTATACAGTTATATAAATAGCTACGATTATAATAATTATAATGATAATAATCTTATATTTGTTGATTTTAAATTACCATTAATTTTCCAAACGGTCTCCTGATAACAGCTTTAGCATAAGCTTCAAGATGTTTATCATAAGAGTTTCTAGCATATCTCATGAAAGGATCAAGCACATGAATCTTACGAGTACGTATTTCAGTATAAAAGTGGTGCATATTTTCTAAAAAAAAAATTTTTTTTTTTAAATTTAATTATTAATATTTTCATTAATGATAATATTTTTCACCCAATTAAAAATCAAGTTCATTACCTAAAGTTACTATATGAGCATTCAATTGTTCTTTATCTATAGATTCTGTATCTTTAGCAATTGCTTCAAGACAATCAAACATTGTTTTCACAATCTCTTCATATGCTCTATTAATAATTTGTCGTATCTCTAAATTTTCGGAACCTGTCATTGAGTGTTCAATTCTTTCAACAAAACGCTAACAATTAATTAATTAATGAACATAATTAATCTCATTATATCCTATTGCAAAATTATGATTACGTTTTTCTTTACCAAAAATATATATTTTACTTACTGGAAATATACGAATAAATAATACTATTCCTTTACGTTTTTTGGAAGTTACTTTGGTTTCTTCAATTGATCGAAGTTGTTCGTTCTATCAATATTGTTTAAAAATATTTATATCTTGATACATATGAAATAGATTCTGATAAAATTTTCACTTACAATAAATTTTTCAAAAATCCCAAGAGCATAAATTCTAACGTGTCCCAACATTTTGACAACAAAATCTTGTCTGATTTTATCACTTTCGTACATAAATTTCTCTAATGATACAATCATACCAACTACTTGACTAATTTTATATAAAAGATATAATTAGACATAATAATTTAACAAACAAATAAACAAATAACCAATTACACCTACATTTTATCATATTTGCAACCATATTCGATAAATGAATTTAATTCATCTGGCATAAAGTTATATAACCTTTCCATATGTTCACTATAAATATATACGATATAAAAAAAAAATTCATAAAGAATATTTAAATAAAAAAGGAATTATTATACTTTAAAATAATAAATTAAACAAACAACTAACAATAATCTTTTATAAAGTTTAATAGCTTCGATATCGGCGTCACCATCGAGTGGATTTTTTGGAAGTGGTTTTTTAGTTCCAAGATGAAAAAAATCTTCTATAAAATTTTTCTCGGTAATAATCAAAGGAATTATTGTTTGTAAAGAATGATCAAATGACTATAATTAATTAATCAATCAAAAAAATATCGTTAGGAGAGCCGTTTATATTTTTTTTTTCCACATATATATATCTATCTATATATGTTTTTTCTTACTTCTTCAGGTGGAAGTTTTCCACCACCTCCATCTTTAAACTCCCACGGTGCCCTTGAATTATCTATTGACAACCAATTTCCAAAATTCGTACTGGTGCGATTATTTTGAAGTAATGCTGCACTAAACACTGTATTTATTATATTTAATTGTAATTTCATTTAAAAAAACCATTGTTATTGTTTTCTTTCTTTCTTTTTTTTTGGAATATTTTTGTCAATATTACATACATTTATATATAAATATACATAAATATATATAATTTACCATAAGTTGCTTCTTCAGATAATTCTCTTTTGAATAATAATTGCTTCATTGTTGTTAAATATTCTTTGGTTTCTTTTTTGTAAATAGGTTCTTTAGAAAGCACATATAACTATATTCGATAATTAATTACTGTTATTATTGTTACTATTATTATTATCAAAAAGATTTAAAAAATTGGATATAACAAACTGTTTGAATTTCAGTATGACGTCTAGGATCCATTTGTTTCATCCATAAGGAAATTCCACGATATTTTAATAAATGTTCTTCTAATGCCTGATGACTTTGGATAGTGAGATTATTGTGTCGTGGTCCTCTACTTTTATCATTTAGCAAAGTCTCTGCCTAAGATCAAATAAAATT